GTATTTTTATTAATTTATAAAAACAACATGGAATTATTGCGGGCCTTAAAGACGATATCTTTAATCTTGCTGGTAAAGCTAAAACCTGTGGATGGCCACAAATGAGGAAATCGAGGATCTAGTTACTTGCTTTAGTCTTTTAGGAATTTTGCTTAATTTTAATAAATTTTCTCAATATGAAATTCATTTTGTGCATGTAATGCTAAGTAATATTAAGTAAGAGTTATAAGTGCTTAATTCATATGCAAGTAACCCTCACTTTACGGAATTTCAATTTACGAAAGACTATGAAGATGAAACTATATTGTAGATATGTAATTTGGATTTTATACATTGTGAATTTATCGAATAACTATTGCTTTTATTCTTATTTCAAAATTTTATGCATTATTTGATATAATTTGATACAGTACATCACAGAAGTGATCGGGCATTTTTAGTGTGCGAAAATGATCCAGAATTTGAATATATTTAAACTGAAATTGTAAAGTGGGTCTTCCTTTTGATTTATACATTTACCTGATTGTTGTCATACGTTTGATGACGGCTAGGTAAATATATAAATCAAAAGAAAGTACTATTTTATAGTTTCACTTTACTCTGAATGTATTTTTTTTCCAAAAATTATATATTAAACTCAAAAATTAATATCTTCACATTTGAATTAGCAAATCATGCTATAAAAGTGATCGCACTCTTAAAATATATTAAAAAATTAAAATTAAGAAAACTTAAAATTTTAGTATTTTGTTAGATTATGATAACTTTTGAAAGATAATGTAATCTTTCTGACATAGAGAGATCCAACTAGATATTTATTATCTCTGATCTAATTTTCCTTCCCTTTTTTATGTTGCTAATTTCAGTGGTTATTAAAAAATATATGTTTCGTTTTCGAATTTCTTATTTCATGTTTTTACAAATATGTTCAATAAGATGTAAATCTGGATATCGATTATTTGTTTTGAGTGTTTCAGGATTATTAAGCAGCAACTAGAGTTTAACATTCATAGTAAGATTGTTATTGGCTTAGTAGTACGTTGTAAATCGTAGTTTTACGCTGTTGATTTCAAAATTTGCTTGATAATATGAATATGATTGCACTAGTCCATTACACAACCAATAAGCTTTAAGATTACAGTTTTTTACACTTGCATATACTAACTTTTTTCCATCCTATTCTGTTGCTAATTAAGTTCAGTTTTTGAAATTCAGCTTTAGATCCTCTTTATAATAAAAAGGGATCATTCTAACCAAAGATTTTGAATTACCTAATTTCTGCAAATGTAACTTCAATTCTAATAGTCAGAACTCCTTTTTCATATAGATTTTGAGAAAGAAAACTGAAATTACCTGTTATTTCTCAGGAATTGACTTTTTCTCTTGCTATCCTAGCATTGCATTCAACAGATCGGTTTACTGTTTTAAAAATTCTCCAAATGATTGATAAAATTCTATTGTAAGTTTGGTATCAGGCAGTATTCCACTACAGATATTGTAATAGTTTCCTCAATATTTTATTATATTTCCAAAAGGCATTTCTAATTGTCTTCCAAATTTTCTTTCATTTTCAATTTTGTCACATTTGGAATAACATTTTATTACATCAAAATTGTTCAATGCTTAAATGGAAATATTTCAGTCATACATGAAATAGATTTATTTCTTTTTAGGTGAAAATTAATTTACAAATATATAAAAGGATATACTTCCTTCACACGGCCATGATGATGAAATATTAAAGTAACATAAGTTAACAAAAAATCTTATTGAAAACTTCAGAAAGATAGTTTTTTAGATATTGCCTGGTATGTACCATTGTAAAACAATGTTGTAAACTTATATAATATATCTATTGAACATGAATTTGTCCGAGTAATGTCTGAACACATTTGCGGTAAGTTTGGTTTTCACTAAAAAAGTAATTTTTAAGGTCAGGATATTACACTTTGTAAATAGTGAGAGTGAAAAGATGATTAGGTAAAGTAGCATTCAAACAAGACTGAGGTTTATAATTTTATTTCTATGTCTTTAAACATCTCGCCAATACTTTTGGAAATTTAAGATGCTTGATCTTATTTGTCAAATACCTCTAAGTACTTTTAAGGCCGGGTAGCGCTTAGAAAATTTTCTAACATGAAAATTAATTGAAATGTAAAATAATTGCTTCTTCTTTATACCGTGGGTTATTAGATGAGTTTAACAGTAGTGTTGTATTTTAGGAAAGCAGAGGAAATACGCATAAAATTTTATAGGGAATTAATTATGGCTTTTTGTTTCTTTCTCTCAAATAGTTCTTTTAGCTTCATTCCATGACACTACATTACCTGCTCCTATACTATGGATATATTTCTTCTTCTACACCGTGATGAATAAATAAAATATAAAATGCGACGTGCATTTTTGGAAGCATGCTGATGTTTTTAAAACCTTGAGAACATTAAAAAAATGAATTTCCCTGTTTTGATAGCAATAATTATCGAAGGTGATTTAAAGAAAATAAGTAAAAGTTACTTGAAATAACAACTGCTCTGCATATAATAATATGTTTTTCCATTGTGAGAAACATGACTTCACTCTTTAAATAATCAAGAGGTAGCTTGAATATGTGCATTTGATAACATACAGGTGAAATTAATTGACCCTGACAAGATAATACATTAAGCTTCCTATCAAAAGTCAAGAAAGTTTTCCCCTTTTATCTAATATTATTATATTTTGTTTAGTTTGTAGTTTAATAATAATTTTTTTTATATCTTAATCTTCCTGTTTTTCATGATCATTACACCTATCATACTATGTGCCATTCATGCGGCCTAGTATATTACCGGTTTTTTAGCATTCTGTGCTCCGCATCATATTTAAATTAATTCTCTGATTAAATTTTTTGTGTTAAACGAACAGCGATTAAGAACAAAATGTTTGCTGTTTTTAAATAATTTATAACTTTATTCAGTTTTTAATATGTATACATTTAACTGATCTAGTTTCTAATGCAGATAATTGATATGCTTATGGTATAGCTAATTATAATAAAAGATATTTTTATCATAGTTATATGCCTTGATAAAATAACCTTTTAAGCTCCTTCCTAGCAAAGAGTTTGATTTTCATATTGAAAATTATTTACTCGTTCATATCGATATGATATGCAATTCAAGGAAAACTCTAAATAAATTATTTCAATAAATTATTTGTGTGATGAGAACTATTTATTACTAGCAGCTACGCGGCCAGCCTTCGTCTGGCTTAAATGTACCGGAAAAATGCCTAAAGGGAACACCAAACGTTAAATTTAAAAACTGCGAAGAATTTTACTCTGCAGAGCAACTTTATTAAAATAAATAAATAAAAAATAAATGTATTACATATAGCAAAATTACTATGAAAAAATACTAAATTTTATGCAAAAACTTATTTTTTCTTGTTAATGGCTTGCTCTTTTTTTTTTTCAGGCATTCTGGAAGTATATTAAAGCATCCATATTTTATATATAAAGCATCCATATTTTCGAAACATCTTAGTATTTTTGATATTAATTTTAAATAAAGTTATTGCCTTCCATTTGAGAAGGGCCCACAAACGGCCGAGCGGTAAAGTCGATGAACGCTGGTATTTCGCTCCGGGGTTCGAATCGCGACGAACGGGCTGGTTGCATGGGCGTTTTCGTGGTTTTTCTCATGTGTAATGTGCATACGAGCTGGTTTCGCTTAGAAATTTCTTTACGAAGGCATCCTTCCTTTTAGGCATATAGCCCTGCTCTGCCGTAACTTAACAATCCAATTCAATCCATTTCATCAATATTTGGTCAGAGCCTTTATCAGTCTTTAGAGGCTAGATATTTTGAAGGCATGAGATGAAAGAAAGATTAGTTTCATCAAGAGGAAAAACGTCTTTAGATGATATCCATATACGTCACTGGATAAATTCTTGAATCCTCAAATAATTCGACTGAGAAATCATGGGATGCTTCGTTTATGATACGATATGGTGTCCTATAAAGTAATTTAAATTTATACAACCATACAGTCGAAAACCAGTCGCTCATCACTTTAATCTGCAATTATATGGTTTTTGTCTTTTCCGTTAGCACAAACTCAATTGCTGCTATTTGCTGATGTACACGTTCAAGTGTTTTCTCTTTGAACACCCAACTACCTTGAAGTAGATTCCCTTTAAATTCCCCCCCCTCCAATTTCCTTCAGCACATTTGTTTTCAGTGCTGACGTACGAAAATTAAGATTTTCGATTGTTACACTTCCATAAATTTTGCATTCTTGTCAAATTTTTTAAAATATCAGTTGCATCAAATGAGTTTCAGCTGAGGACAGCTTTTCATATTCTTGACATTTTAACCATAAACAAAGTTTTAAACAACGTCCAAAGGATAAATATTTTAATTAAAAGATTTTTGTTAAATGAAAAAGAAATAAACCACTCCAGCAGCGCTTATCCTATACCACCGAGTGACTCGATTCTTATATCGGGTGCAAACAATCTAAATTACATTGTTTAGAACTAAGCGTATGTAATAGAATAATAAATAAATAATATTGTGTAAAACATGTACAACTAAGTATAATTTAAAAAACTGCATACATAAAGAAGTCTTTTATGTTATACGGTTCAGTTAAATGCAATGAAAAGAAAAAAAAAAAAACTTAATTGTAATAATATTTTTGATCATAAGTAACTAAAATAAAATCCTGAGGTTGCTACCAATGTCTGATTTTAAATTAAAATTTTGAAGAAGAAATTTTAACGAATGAATATAATCATTCTTATATATGCAATTTTTATGCTTTTTAATTTTAGTGTATTTAACCAAAATTATGTAACTTAAAAAATTAATCTATTTTTTTATAATTTTTATTTTATAAAATGCGCAAAAGTACTGCTGAAAATAATAATAATTATAAAAAATATTTCTTCTAACTAGCGCAGCAAGGAAATTCGCAAGAAATTTTTCTAATTTTTCTTTATGTTTTTCTTTTTTTTAGGCGCTTCGATCATCACAGAGGTTAAACTTATATTCGGTTTAATAAAATTTCTGTTTGGCTTAGAAATGCATTATCTAAATATCACTTAAAATCACAGGAATACTAAATATAAACGATAACTTAAAAAATTCCAAAATTCTTAATTTGTAAAATTATTTTCGATTAGGCAGATGGTGTAAAAACCGAAATACTGTAACATTTAATTTGATCGGCAAGAAACGTTCAACACTAAATAAAGCAAATCTGTACAAATTTTGAAAAAGTACCTGAAGAAAATTGTGTTCTCATCTCAAACACGTTTGTGAGAAAAATTCAAGAAAATCGGATTGATAGAAGGGGATAAAACATCATTATCAAAATTTTACCCTTGCCCTTCAAAACCGAACAAACAGAGATATTACATTAAATAAAACCTTGAAAAAAGTCATGTTTGAAGATTTCATGGGAATACTTATCAAAATTTTTCCAGCGAATTTTGAGAATGCAGTTGAGCAATCGTGGAAACAAAAATTATTAATGAGCAATTAGAAAAACGAATAGACAGAATCACAGAAGTATCTTTCTTATGTTTTTACACAATAATGGTCTGCAGTTTCAAGGACATCTATCCACCAACGTACGCAGGAACATTTGTGCCAAGTTTCAAGAGCATCTCCACTGCCCCACCCATAGGGACGCAGGGATGTCTCTCAAAACTCTGTGGGTGTCCTTGGAATCTTTCCCCTTTTTTCTTTCGAGTTTTCCTGGTCATCTTCAGGTATATAAAGAGGGAGTTTGGGGAGAAAAATTTATATTTGCTTTTCTCCTGCCGTGAGTTAGCAAGTGCTTATTCAAGATGAACTACTTGGTGAGTTTTCAGATTATTTTTTAATGTTTTATTCCTTCGTAATTTGATTAATCTAAACTGTCTCATTACTAGGTATTACTTACTTATTCTAAGATGCAAAAATTCTAAAAAATGTTTCGTTTCGCATTTAAAAGGAAACTAATACTTTATTATTTCAATAGAATCATAAAACTTTCTTGTCTTTGAATTAGAAAACCAATTAAACATTTATCATCATCGGAATTAAGTTTAATGCTGTTGGAGTTAAGAATCTATCTCTGTTCAAAAAATCAATTAAAGCAAGTTTTTTTCTTTAACCAGTTCTATAAATAACTCTCTTATATAGTAATAATTTCACTGTAACCATTGTTGATTTCACTACCAGTATTATAATTAGTAATAGGATTACTTTTTGTAATCTTATGAATAATATATATAGACATATGTTTATTTTGAAATCATAGTCTGAATGCCTTTTTTATGTATAAACCGTAATTTTTAAGGTAGTAATCAAATAACGGAAAACAACGCCAAAAAATTTTCTCATGAAATCTTTCTATTTCTTTTAAATGAAATATTTTTCCTTTTCTTCTCCCCACCCCATAGCTTATTTGCTCAAATTCTGGGGAAAAAAATTAGATAGTCTAAGGTTAATTTCTGCTAAACTAAAATGTATTTAAATTTATTTTCATTAAAAACGCAAGATTCGAAGTGATGCAATTAATAAGCTATATATGTAAGGAAGTTATTTACTCAGGCAAACACTCGAGCTATATTTGTTGTCAAGCATTCGAAGACAACTCGACAAAAGGAAATTCGTAATTTTTTATATTACAAAAGATCTGATATTATGAAAATATTTTACGCAACCGATCAGTTGGATGTCAAAGAATTGTTTTCAGAATGCTCAGAAGAATAGTCAGAAGTTTTATGTCATGGCAGTCATCAGGTTGATGACTGCTGAGTAGAGTAACGTAACGTTTCGTGATCTGAAATGTAAAGGCTAGAATATAAACTTTTCTAAGGTCAGTATTCAAGTATCAAACTTTTTAGAAAAATTTGACTGTATAAGAATAAACGTTTAATCGCACTAAAGCCCCAAACGATTCTGTACCGAGTTTACGTAATAGATGGTGTTAAAACATATTTTATAAATTAAAATAACTCTGTATACGTCCACTGTCATTAGTTGGAATATACCATGAATTAAATGTGTTTGCAATTATAGCACTTAAAGTAAAATTAGATTGTAAATTGTTAAGAAAGGCATTAATGCGCTTTAATTTAAAATTTTATTTAAAAATTTCGTTCTAAGCTGACTCGTGAACTACCATTCATTAAGGAAGTATCTAATTTATAATTTCAAAAATATCTTTTGTTAGTTTGACTATTAGTACAAATGTTAATAAAAATATTACTCAGATGTGGCATCAGAAATTATGCCAGTTAGATACATTATTAAAAGTAAACTACATGCATACAGTATTGGGAAGTGCATACATTGCTGTAAATCGCTCATTTCTGTAAGCAATATAATTTTAATTTGAAAGATAAATTAAAGATTATATATTGCATCCTAGGCCAGCCCCTACTGGTCGATCGTTTAACGATCCTATGCTTAGCGGAATGGCAACTGTTAGAATTAGCACGTTTGTATGAACGATGAATGGCAGCGTAATGGGACACAGGAAAAAAAAAAAAAAAAAGGAAGTTTAAGCACAGACAATTTCCAGCCCTAAAATATAAAATTAAATTTGTGTAAAATATGATAATTTAAAATATGTAATTTGTGAGATTTTGTTACATTCATCTGGCTGTGTTTCCGCTAAATTTAAATGCTTTATTTGTTACAGTTCGCCCTGTTGGTCTTGGTCGCCTTGTTGGTGGTTGCCATGGCACAGTGGCCGTACTATGGTGGTTACTATCATCACTCTGCTGTCTATCCATACGCCTACAACTATGGCCTCTACAGCCCAACTTACTTATGGAAGTGAGGAAGAAAAGGTATGAAATTACAAAGAATAACAAATATACAAGTTTTCATTTCCGCTTTTTACAAAAACAGATTTTTTCTCGCGAAAAGCCGAGATGTGCTTGAAGCCAAGAATTAGTTATCCTTAATATATATGATTAAAATTTTTTGAGCGTTCATGGGAAATTCAAGATAACGCCCTAAAAATTTAAATAATAATTAGGTTTCTTACCTTTGTTTTCCTAAAAATGAAAGTCCTTTAGTGATTTATTTCGTACAATGATAAATGTTCTTTCGCGAAAACGAAGGCGCGTAAAATCGAATTTTTCTTCCTTGCATTTCCTTCGTTACATAAAATCTTAATTTAGTTTACAGATAAAAAAGGTAATTGTCTGGACTTGCCGAATGTCTGGGTAAGCTGTTCTTTCCGTTAGTGTTGATATTTGGGTGAAGTAAGATATGAAAACTACGCTATAAAATTATTTTATACTCATGCATACTATATTTCTAATATTATGAATATAGGAGGAGTATTCGGAAGGTATTTTAGAGTGTGACTGTAAAAGTTATGTTCTAGAAAAGTTATGTCTCAGGAAACGAAATAATTATTTTTTAATAATTAATAATTTAATTTTCATAATTAATAACTAATTTTTACGAATATGGAAAAATTAAGTCTCAGAACGAAAAATTCTTAAGTGTTTTTTAATTAAGAAGAAAATTATGAAAACATTGAAAGGCAACAAGGCCAAAAAACTCGCAAAATGATTGAGAAGAACGATAAAATTTAAAATGCAAAACAGTTGAAGAAGGAAAATATTATAAAAATTTCTTTGGCTTCTTCAAGTGTTTTCTGTGTTTCTCGTTTCTCTAGCTGCCAATGAATCGGTGTTGAAAATTTAAATAAGACTTAAATCATAATTATCATAATTTAAATTTAATCTGTTTGTAAAAAGCTTTGAATAAAATATGAAATTTTATTTATTTTTATATCTGAAATCCATAAATCATTTTTTATGATTTGAAACTTTAGAGAAACTGTGTTGAGTCAGATAAAATTATTTGCATATTTCGTAATATATGAAGTTTTACTAATGACCCCATAAATCCGTGATGTCATTTCTTTTCCACCTGTATCCTTTGTAAGTTAAAGTTGGGAAACTTGTAAATTATTATTCAATCCTATTATCACCTCAAATGCGTAGAAATTCATATCATTACTTTAAAAAATTAAACAGATTATCTTCTATATAATAAATTAATTTTGATCACTTTTAGTTTAATTATTAAAATTCACTTTTTAATATCATTCATTCAGAATAACAATCCAACAATTCCAAAGAAAATGTGAAAAAGAATTCTCTATTTTTATCTGAAATTTATGAGGTTAATTCGTACGTTATATATATTATACATTCTATAACATCAACTATATACTGTTTTTGTAATTATAACTTAGGAATATTCATTAATATTTATTTTTAATACGTAAATATTAAAACAACGATCGCAGCTGATTTGCATTTTTTTCATTCTCAGAACACTTAGGACATTTCACAAAGAAGTTCAAAAAATATTTTTTCATTGCAGGATTTAAAAAGAAAATTTTTTTTTTCGATTCGAAAGGATTTTTTTTCGTGACTTAACTATAGATTGTCTACAAACGTATGAATAGTAAAATACTATTAAATAGAATTTATATTATAAAATAGGAACTCATATAGTTTACATTTGAAAATGATAAGCAGTATTTGAACTAGTTTACGAAATTAATTTCTTAAAGTTCTAAATTTTTAAAGATAGGAACTGTTTAAAATGTGTAGGAGAAGTACGGAAATTTTTTAACGATTCCATAAAAATATTCTGTTCCGAAATTCATTGAGATATTTCAAATAAATAGTAAATGTTTTAATCGCACCTTACATTCTTCTTATTTGTCAGAAAAATCTTTAAAAAATAGGTAGCAATAAAATTTAGTTCAAAATGTGATAAATATTGATGAAGAATACTTCAAAAGATAAATCGTAGTTATTTGTTACTGTGGTTTTTTTTTTAATATAAATTGGATTGATATAAAATTTATTTGTTAAAGTTTCTTATTCCTTTGTACAAGGTAAAGAAAGTTCGAAATTTCGGTTCTCAGATTTTAATGGAAATATCCATTTTGATCGTTCCCGAATCCATTTTGATTATTGTTTTGCACGAGGTCTGTACTTACGGGCGGAATAAAGGACTCCTTATTCCAAAATAGATTATAAAATGGATTCAAAAGGAATATTTTATATCTATATATCCACTTCCATTAGTCGGCTTGAAAGTCCTTCTCGTCTTTACTTTCGCAATCTTTGGTCGTAGTCATATACTTTCAGTTACAAAGGTGTTTAAATGACTAAAACATTCATGTTTTTGTCTTAGTAATGTTAGATTTAAGAAAAATAATTTTAGAAAAATAACGAAAATCTAATTTTTAATGCGATTTTCCGATTTTATATTCGTTATTGAAAAAATAAATTTAGAAGAAATTTGACTTTCGTACTACAAAAATTGGTGGAGGTATTTAATTTCAAAATTTGAAGTTTTTAATGTCGTTTTCAGTTGCTTTGAGAGATCGATTAATTAGGTTAGAATAATTCGAGGAAATATCTTTACTTTAATTTGAAGATTAAGTTTTCTGAACAAGCTTTTACATGAAAATGGACATTCGACGTTGTCAGTATGACCATATTTTATGTTGGCATGGGAAAAAAAAAAAAAAAATGCAATTACTGTTTGAACAACTGAATCACCAGTTTTGCTGCCAACAATGTGTAAACATTCCATTCAGATTTAAAGTTAATTAAATTTATACTCAAAAATAAAGAAGCCGTTATGGCACGATTATGAACGTTCTAAATGAAATTTCTTTTATTCTGCTTGTAAAATATGAATTTGTTTATAATAGTGGTCGATGCTTCCTGTTACTATGATCAATATCTAATTTGTATTCGGTGAAGCATTGAGTTTACGAGATTTGAATTTGATAATGAGGCAAGAAACGAGTTTTAACGTCAAGAGTTGCGAAACGAGTTTAGTCATTAGTGTACTGCATTAAAACTTCATTCATAAGTTTCCTTACTATAAACGCATTTTGTTTTCTCTTTCTAGGCAACGCCTGGACTGATGACGAATTGATGATCATGTTTCGGATTGGATGACGCTTGGTTTACTTACTCTGCATCTTCTGTTTCGCTGTCTTCTTGAAACCTCTTTGTCCCAACCTATCTGTTGACTTTTTTTCGTAAATAAAACTTAAAAAAATTGCCCAAAAATGTCCTGATTAGCTTGTGTTTACTTTTGTATTTAATTTGCATTTTTTATGCATTGTTTTGAATCTTATTACTGATAGGTTGCTAATAATACGAATAGTTAAGTTAAATCTCAGAACATTTACAAAAGTGTAGAGACATTATATGTAATTATGTGTGTAGAGACATTACCTTTTACAAAAGTGTAGAGACTCATTTCGAAGCAAGAGACATAAAAAATTAGCAATGCCCTCACCGGAACTCGAACCTGGGACCTCTCGAATACGCCCCGTGCGTGTTAACCATTACACCACGAAGGCATGCTAAGAAGGTGGGAGAAATACCCTATAAAAGAAGTTATATTTTTTAGCTTCTTTTTTTTCACCTAAAATTTACTTTAAATATTTTGTTTTAATTTTAAAGAAAGGTTAAATTGCAAGGTTTCAGAATTTAAAATCCAGTATCTCCATTACAAATATTTTATCATCATTTTTACATTTGTAAATAATCACTCAACACGACAGTAAAGAACTCATTTGCTACATAAAAGAATATCATCACTAAAAGTACAATATCTATTCTAAAAATGAAATATAGTTAAGCTGAGAAAAGGTTTTAATTGTGATAGAAGTAAACAATGAAAGCTTTTATTACATTTATAAAAGTAAAGCAGTTTGAGCATATTAATAAAGAGTATGTAATGGTTAACCATAGAATACAGTGATTGGTAATTATATGAAGTTATAGCATCTCATTACTATTTTAAGTCTTTTGTATTAAATTTCAGAAGTTATTTAAACTTTAACATTTTCTCGTTGCCAGGGTGCAGGTAAAAATATATCAAAAGAAATATACATGAAAAGAAAGCTTTATATAAATATTCAATTAAAAAATTAAATCCTACGATTGCGTAACAGTTTACTTCAATTGTTGTCAAATAAACAGAATGCCTATAAATTATGTTATTCCATAGATAATTCTTTAAGATATCTGCATGGCATGCAATATGCGTTACATTACAAAAACGTTTTTATACATATATATTAATTTATATTTGTACTAGCTTGTTAACTATAAAATTTCAAGTCATTAGTCAGTTTCTTGGTTGCTGTACTGCAAAATATGTTTGCAGTTTGAACAAGAGCGCTCTTTCGGCCATTTTCGTCAAATTACAAATTATTTTTTCAGCTAAACAAAAATAAATATAGGTCTGAATTTTGTCTAATTTTTGAGTTTTATACCGGAACTCGAACCTGGGACCTCTCGAATACGCCCCGTGCGTGTTGACCATTACACCACGAATAGACCATTACACCACGAATCTGAGTAACAGTAGCACAGTTAGTTATGTGACTAGTTACTGGAATAAAGTACTAGATTTCTTATTTTATCAGAAACAGTTATTTTATAATTCTATTTTTAACTATTTTTTAATCGGAATTAATTTATGATTTATTGGTCAATTGAAGTTATGATTAGATTTGTTTGGAAATTTACTTAAAACTACCTCGGCAGTTAAACTCGACAAAGAATATTAAAACCTCATATTTAGTAAACACTGAGGCAATGAATTCAATATATTCAATTTTTAGTAGAATTATGTCAATTGAAATATTTTTCTGAAAGTAAGATTTTCGATAGAAACGATTTTAATTCAAACATGATATCAGCAGTTTTAGAATATCAGTTGCATAATATCAGTTGCTTTTAGAAAATGATAAAATATCAAGACATTTAACAAGTAGGTAGACATCTCATTAAATATTGCGCATAATCTTAATTAATCTAGATTTTGCACTATCCCAGACGAACCTTAAAGTACAATACACAAGTTTTCTTACAAAACATAAAATATTTTGTCTCGTATTTTGAACCAAGTATATAGAACTACTTTTAAATTACTTTTATTCTACTAACTACTTTTATTCAAGTTTATTAACATTTTGTATATTTTTACTCATTTAATTTATAAGACACATTGAAAATAAGCTAAATTTAAATAAATGTATATGTATTTTTCGTGTTTTTGAATGGACAGGGAAATGATCATCTAATAATGGTTAAAAGGCGTGCATGGAGCAAAAAAGATTGGGATCCCCTGTCCAGAATGTGTTCATTTCATTTCTTAGATGGTCACATCGAGCTTTTATCATCATGCGGCCTGACAAATCGCCAAATCTCAAGAATGTTTCCAGTCGATATTCTGTAAAATCTTTAGCTTTCTTTCAAATTAAACCTATCATTACATAAAAACACTAAACGATTTAAAAACAATAAGCGCTTTTTTAATATTTTTATTTTTAATCTGTATTTTAAATAGCACATCCGATTGACATAATTTATAGCAAATTCAACTGATAATTTTATAATAATATGGACCGTTACTGTAATTAAAAGATATATTTCTAATTCTACAAATTACTTATAGAATAGTTTGCACCTTGCCTGTCAGCAAATTTTTTTCTTATAATTATTCTGCATATTATACTTATTATTATTATACATATATTAAAAAGGGTGTTTACCCATTTTAGAACGATTTCGAGACCGTTTAATTAATATTTAAAATGTAAATGAAAAAAATCTGAAAAAAGATTTTGAGATTTGCTTTGGATAATATGTTTTTGCACTTCGATCTGACAGCCATTTTTTCCGAACTCTTTTAAATGTGTGTCGTGATTTTCCATTCTAGAAGGGATTTTCGTAAAATTCCCAGGGCTGTTGTTCTCTATACCTCTACCACTACTTTGAAGAGTCCATCAATCGTGGGGGTTTGCGTTTAAAGAAAGAACTCATTTCAAGAGACCAAAGGCACAATAGTCTTTAGGTGAAAGGATCAAGGAGCTTGGCAGGGATACTTCAAAGGATATATACGCAATACCAATATTATTTTTAATTTTTTCAAGGAAATACAGTGGGTAACTTTTGCAATATGACTTCCTGCTTTGTCTTGATGAAGTTTCACTCATTGAAAATCATTGAAATGAAGGAATGGAATTTCTCCTGTAAATATCAGGCGCGAAATTTGCTTTGGATAATATGTTGTGTTGATTTTTATATTCCCCTCCGCCATCTTCTCATTTTTAGTTTCCCATTGCAAGAGAAACCTGCGACAGTCACAAGCCCTTTACTAAAACTTTCATTTGCACTAACAGAACCACATTTGTACATTTTTTCTCTTCGTTTTCGATAATAAATATGTGGAGACATTAGGTATTTTTTGGAAGCAGGAAAGATGAAAAATTAGAAATACCTTCGCCGGGAATCGAACCACGGACCTGTGGAATACAGGCCCAGCGTGCAGAACCACTACACCACGAAGATACGCTAAAAAGGCGGGAGAAATACCTTATATACTCCCCCTTTTAAAGGGCGAATGGTGTTTTAAGGGACCCAATCACCAAAACCTGGGTGTGGAGAATTCTCATCCAACACCCTTTTAGTTCGGGCGCCACTGTAGAGACATTGGATTTTTTGGAAGCAGGCAAGATGAAAAATCAACAACGCCTTCGCAAGGAATCGAACCGCGGATTTCTAGAATACCAGCCCAGAACCACTACACCACGAAGGCACGCTAGGAAGGCGGGAGAAATACCTTATAAATATATCTTTTATGTTGCAGTTATTTATGGAAACACACGCTTGATCAAATGTCACAATAATCCATTTATCTTCTGCTAAATAATTTTCGTACAGAGTTCTACAAATTTCTCTGTGCTGTGTCCCATGTCTCGACAAAAGCTGGTGAACATTATGTTTTTTAGCCTTTTTAATTTGTAAATCTCGCTTTTTAATTCTATTTATTGTTGGTATAGATGTACTTGAAAGCTTTGTAATTGGTTTATGCTGGGTCGGGGAATTTGTTCTCTTATCAACGATGTAACCTTTGAAACATTAGAAACGATATGTATACCTTTTTCGAGTATTCGTGTGGAGTCTTCTGTCCATGCAGAAGTAATGACTGACAGTTTTTCTCTTTCTAATTAATAATGTTTCTTATTTTTGCATTTAGAAATTTTAATACCATGCATTGCACAACATTTTTGAATTTTGGAATAGGAATATTTCTGTTCGGAAAGCTAAAAAATAATATCATTCAATCCACAGCTTGATTGTCATTTTGAAAGGAGAATAAAGTAGCAGACGATATTTCAATAATAAGCTGTTGCCAGAAATTTTTATTACAAAACGTCTGCTTTTTTTTTTAAAAAAATTCTTTGTTGAAATCAGTTTAAAAGTGTTTAAACACCCCATGTTGCAGTATGATAAATGATGTGCTAAAAATGTTAAACGTGCATTTTGCTTTGTTTTTATGCAACATTATGTTCATTAAAGTATGAAAGTAAGTTTTAATGTAATGAATACTGTAGAATATAAATCGGTGATATATCTTATATCAGTAATATTTTGTTAGAAGCTTTAGTTATTCAAATTAGCATCATTTCACATTATTTCAAATAATCTGAATTTTACTGTATGGGGAAAGTCAAATAATGTTTACAAAATCAAACACAATTTAGTTCAAAGTTTTTGAATAATGTCTGCTACGTTACTGTGCTTTTTTCTATTAAAAAGTGCTTTTAACGCACTAAAACGTGTCAACCATAATTCATGAATCTTTAGACTAGAAAATTCAATTTTGCTTATACCATCTTTGGGATCTTGATCTAAATTTTTGCTTTCCTTTTATGCTTCGTGGACAGCTTCTAAGGCACACAGATCAAATTCACTAGTTCCAGTAGGAACAATCCAGTCCTCGTTGGATAAACTGGATGTAATTTTGGAATGAAATTCTTCATCAGGTTCAGTTTCTGAAGCTGAATCATCATCAGAAAGACTTTCAAAAACTTTCAGCAACCCTTCCTTCGTCAGATAATTTCTACTAGTGCTTCTACGCGACTTGATAGACAGGTCAGAGCAACAATACTATTCAAATAAAGTAAAGTATATTTGTATCTGCTGAAAAAATATTTTTTCTAACACAAGCGAAATGTGCGGATCCGTGGCACACAAAAATTCCGAAC